TATCAGTGTCATAAATCTTTTTTATTACATTAAATAACAGAAATTTTTAAGTTGTTTAAGGAATACAATGGCTGCTTTGTCATGGATTTACTTTTATGATACACACTTACAAACTATTTTGAAAAGAAATCTAAGTTGTCTCATAATGCAAAGGAAATAGAAATGTGGGGTTTCAAATTAATGCACCAACTATCAGAGAAAAAGAATTCAGATGTGTTTGAATTGAAATGAGTTCAGGACTTTTCTGTTTTATTTCATTATTGCTATTCAGTTGAGAATATTAATGATGGGTTTTTAAAAAATTTTCAGCGATGTTTTTAGTGATAAGTTGACCTTCAGACACTAATACCAATGATTTTGAGATTTCAGATGTTTTTATATTTTTTTATTTAAAAGTATCTCAGTGTGAGAAATCTCCTGGTTACGTGCAAGATATTTGCTCATTTTTGAATTGATGTATTTCCGTTTAGACAATTTGACTGGTTATTAGTTTTTATTTAGTGCTCAAGAATCTCTAACAAAAAGCTGACAGGCATGAACATATATTGAATTCATGTCTTCACATCTTCATGTCTTTGTATAATCAGACTCTGTTAAATTCACCCGGGTGGATGAGGTCCCAAAAACAACATAACATATGGCTGCACTCCTTTTACAGGTGGATAGCTTTAGTAATCCTCATTTTCTCTATTTGTACTATATTTCAAAAAGTAGGGCTTGCTATACAAGGCAGTATCAATCTATAGTGCCTCTGCCGTGCCTTGTATTAAGCTCAGTTTTCATAATTTGGTGTATTTCCCCATTATGTCACACCTTATTCTTCCAAAATCTGTGGGAGACTTGCTAAGGTGGATCAGCCTCCATTTAAACAAATTAAAATTAAAGTAATTTGTGAAACTTCTTATTTTGAAATATGCTCAAACAGAAAGTTACCAAAATAGTACAAAGAATTCTTATATACCCTTTTCCCCTCAACTTCCCCAGATGTTAACCTCACATGTAACATGGCTGTAATGATCAAAACCAGGATATTAACAGTGATATAATACTGTTAAGTCTTCCAGACACGTGATTCACATTTTACTAGTAGTCTACTAATGTCCTTTTCTGGGTCAGGATCTGATCCAGAATCTTCACTTTATTTTGGGACAGATCGTTCCTATCTTTTTGTCTGCCGTGACCTCCACATATGGTCCATTGTTACACGGAACGTCTCTCAGTTTGTCTGGTGTTTCTTTATGATCAAGTTCAGGTTATATATATCTTTTGGCAAGAATACCACAGCAGTGATGCTGTATCCTTCTCAGTGCATCACAGAACACGACATGTGGTGTTTTTCTCAGCTTACGTGTTTAGGCATTTCTGTTGTTCATATATGGTACCGCACTGCTAAGAATGCCAACTTTTTGTCTTTGTGCATTGAATTATATTCATTCTTTAAAATTTACCTTTTTTTGTGGTTTTCTCTATTTGTTCCAGTGCATCTGCTTTCTCACTTCTCTGCAATCCTTTTGCCCTAATTCTCAGTAAAACCTTGACCTGCTTATGGTGTAAAGGCTTCGGTTGTCATGCAGTTGTGACCCTCAAGCACTGTCAGTCCCAGGAGATGTCTCAGGTTCCTGTCCCTCATGGTATTGAGACAATATACCAGTCCCTATTGTCCACACATGCTCCCGGCAATCACCATGGGTTAAATAGTATCAGAATTTAGCACTTAATTATTCTTATTTATTGAAAGTTAATTTTGTCTTCTAATTAGACAGTAATATATTAATATAACAACTATTATAATGACATATTATAGACAAATAAATATAATATTGTTAACAGTACGTAGGTATGATTTTTGTAATGTAGACTGTTTAATCTTTAAGTTTTCAATAATTAAGCTGAAGAGGTAAGGGGAAGATTGAATACAGCTTTATTTTAGGAATAACTTAAAAGTAATTACTACAAGAAATTGCACTAAGTTTTCTTGTGTGTATTTTTTTAAACGTCAGCATTAAAATTAATTGTTGATATAGAAGTAAAATTACCAAAAAGTTATGATTAATAACCTCAAATCTGAAAGATTATTCAGAAAAATGACAACTGTAATACAGAAATGTAAGTTTTATGCAGCAAATGGTATTAGGCGTCAGAATAACTGTTCCTAGAATGAAAACTTCCTTTTATAGTCTTAATGACTGTATCATTGCATTATTTTAAATTGTAAAGCAGGTCTTCTAAGAACTGAAAGGATGTCTGCAGGAATTAACTTTTGTCCTCATTCTGTCCCTATGGTGTGGCAGACAGTCACATACCGCTTTCCCCAGTTTACAGGTGGCGTACTGGGGCACAGGAGCAGTAGAGGGCTTTGTCAGAGACCAGCAAATGAGTACGATACTGAGATACAGAGCCAGAGCCAGGCCCGAGTGCTGGGTTGGGTGGACTTCCCACCTCTCTCCCATTACACTGTAAATGCTGACAGATAAGGTGGGCTTCTAGGGCATGGAGATTTTGACTATGCTGTTAGTAATCAGGCAGCATGAAGTAATGTGTATTTTGTGAGGAAGCTAGCATTACTGTAGATTTGTGCCAGGGCAGAGAAATTATCGCTGTAATGGTAAAATTGTGCGTTACAGGGGAACTTGTGTCATTAAGATTAAGTTGTTCTCTTGCAGATGCTTTCTGCATGGGTTGTTAATATGGGTCCTGGCTGGGTGGCTCACAGGTTGGAATGTTGTCCCGTACACCAAAAGGCTGCGGGTTCACTTTTCAGTCAGGGCACACACTTGGGTTGCGGGTTTGATTCCCTATACAGGAGGCCACTGATTGGTGTTTCTCCCTTACATCGATGTTTCTCTATACCTGTCTGTCTGTCTGTCTGTCTTTCTTTTCTCTCCACATCTTCTCCTCCTTCTCTAAAGTCAATAAACATATACTCCAGTGAGGATTAAAAAAATACAAGGAATAAATTTTTCCACCACATCACTGATAACAGCACCATTGAATTTGATATATTTTACTTACAAATATTATCTTATAAAGCTATATTTCTGACCTGAAAAGATGGCCAAGATATATTGTCAAATAGGGAAAAAGAGAGATTGTAGAAGAATTCTTAACTTGTAGGAGGGTTCCTAACAGTGTGTACCATGTGATTCTATCTTTGAAAAGGAGGAAAAAAATATATATGTGTCTATGTGTATGCATATTTGCATACTCTACATATCTGAAAAAATAACACATCAGTCAGGGTCCTTATTTTTAAGCAGACAAGATCAAGCCTGTCCAATAAAAGCAGAAAAGATTTATTTAAGGATAATAAATAGCTCAGAGATCTCTGGGGTGCTTGAGAACCTGGCTTAGAGGCTGTATATCTGTCTAGGAGCAATACCCAAAATTCCACTGCATAATTGGTTCTTCAAATATCCCCCAGCAGTTATCAGTGGACATAGAACTGCAGTCTGAATCATTAATATTTCTGAACCTGGATACCCGATCTGTCTCCACTGTTACCAGTACTCTGGAATAGGTTCTGGATACTTGCTGCTCATGTGTGTCATCAGCTTCCAATTCAGAGTCAGGCATGGGTGCATTTGATTGGCAGAGCCCATATTTTGTGCCCTAGCTGCAAGAGAAGCTGGGAAAGTGAATACATGGACCTCACTTCTGTAGTGCAGAAAGGGCCCTGCCTCATAAGGTGGGGCATTTCCAAATGTAGAAATAGGATATAGAAACCTGCTACAAAAAAAGAGGTGTTTACTGAAGACACCCAGGAAATTGTTAGCATTGATTACTTTTGGCCCATGTAGTTGGATGGACTGACTGGGGAGCAGAGGGAACTTTTTATTCTTTTGTGCTCTTTGAATAAAAAACATTTATGTAGCAATGATAATATGAACTTGGGGAAAATGAGCAGAAGGGAACATTTTCTTTCCTCTGTCAGTTTCACTGTAATGTTCTGACATAGGAATTCAAGAAGGCCTCCCTGTAATGGAGTAATTTTATCAACTTCTACTCCATTTCACTTAAAAATTTGCCTTACGATTTCCTCTTGAATTCAATCAACTCTGTATTGCTTGTACTCGGTTGGGCAGAGAAATCATGAAATGTTTTTTTCTGGGATATCAGTGGCTATTCTTCATTTTGGCTGGTGGAACTGATTTAGTTTCTCTTTGAGTTTCACAGAATTTAGCTTTGAAAGTTAAGGTGTTGTCAGCTGCTATAGTTGACGAAGTGTTCATAGATGCAAAGTACAAAAATAAAACATGCTTAAAAATTTGGCCCTGCTATGTGATTTTATTTTTTTTCCAAACCTTTATAAATTTGTTCCTTGATAGAAAACTTGTCTGGGAACTTAATTTAATCGAATCAAGTTTTAACATATATTAAAATTTTTTATAGTTTATTTTTTTAGAACAGTTTTAGATTTACCAAAAAACCCCTAAATGTAGCCCTGGCTGGTGTAGCTCAGTGGATTAAGCGCATGCCTGCGAACCAAACAACCGCAGTTTGATTCCCAGTCGGGGCACATGCCTGGGTTGCAGGCCAGTTCCTAGGAGGGGATACACGAGAGGCAACCACACATTGATATTTCTCTCCCTCTCTCCTTCCCTTCCCCTCTAAAGATAAATAAATAAAATCTGTAAAACAAAAACACCGTAAATGTCATACAGAGTTTTTCCATACATCCCACCAGTTTCTTCTGTTACTAACATCTTGGTTAGTGCAGTACATTTTGATACATTATTATTGACTAAAGCCCGCACTTTATTGTCTTAGTTCTTACCTAATGTCGTTTTTCTGTTCCAGTATAGCTGATATATTTCATACACTTCTTTGTGCTTTTTCATCAATGTGGTAATCTCATGAAGCTGCATGGTAAATGCTGTTTCTGTTATAAATATGGAAGAATAAGTCAAGCTTTGCCACAATGAGATTCTTACATTCTTTTATGTACAGATGCCACACGAGAGAAAATAATTAACCTTTATTTTTCCCAATTTTGTGTTCAGTGGAACTGGTCCCTGTAGAACCGTACAGCATCCCTCTGTCCCAGGCTGAGATCATACAGGAAGGGAGTGATGTTACTCTCGTTGCCTGGGGCACGCAGGTCAGTAACATTTCTACGGACTGGTAAGGTTCGTGTGCTTGGAAGCTCTTTTAATCCTGATACTATGAAGAATGGAAAATGATGCTTTCCTTATATCAAGTTTATCTTGTTTGGTGCCATGTCTGTATCTGGTACTGATTTTTGATTGAAGGCCAGGTGCTTATTCAGTCATTAAAATATATATGCATGTGGTGAAGCCATTAAAAATATATTGAATTCACAAAAATGTATTCCTTAACAACACTTTCTTTTGAAGAGCATTTTACCTATCCACTACTTGTCGCCCTTCACTTAGTATTTTCTTTTTCACCTCATCTGCTGCCATCTCTCGCGATTAATAGGATGACCATGTGGACCCGTCCAGTGGGCCAGCCTCGGGAATCCCTGCCTTCCTCTTTTCCAGTAAAACCTCACTACTGTCTACCTCCACTTTTCCTGTTGCTGGTCGTCACATTGCACTATCTCCCAGCATTTAAGCTCAGAACTCTTCCTGTGGCCATACTCTCTCTGATATGTCTTCATCACATATAATAATGAAGTTAGAGTGTATTAGATTGTTACTCCTGTGACTTATTTTCCTTTTACACCTGTCACTTCTTTCAGTGCTTTCCTGTTTTCCTCGTCTTCAAAGGAGTGTTGTCTGGTTATTACGACTACCTCTCCAAAATTGTTCCAGATTATAGTCCATTTATTTTCTTCAGGACCGGGATACAGCAATTGGCCCCTCTCCTTTCTTCTTTTCATGTCCCTTTTATTAAAAAAGTATATATCTCTTCACTATCTAAAAGTACATATTTCTACTCTTCTTTTAAATATCAGCATATTTCCCTTTTTTTTTTCTTTTAATACTAACCTTGAGCCATTTCTACCACCAGCAGTTAAGCCCTTAACGTTCTCACGGTCTTGTGTTTGACCGAATTCTGTTCCCACTAATTCACTATATCTGCTAATAGCATTAACCTTCAAATTGTTAAATCCACCTCTATCCCTGGTATACGACACTGGCTACTCTATGAAACCCTTTCTTCTTTAGCTTCTGGAATACAGTCCCTGTGTCTTCCCCACCCCCCTTTCCTGTTATTGTGAGTTAATTCCTCTTCACCTGTTTTCCCCTTAAATGTTGGTCATGTACAGGGTTCCACCATTTCTGCTCTTTACTGTTCCCTGTAAATGCTTACTTTAGAAACCCCACCTACTGTGGGGTCACCTACTGTGACTTTACCTCAGGGCTGGTATCTTTGGAATCAGTATCTCTGGCAATGACTGCTCTCAGTTTCCTTAAGAGCCTTTTCTCAGTTGTTTTCTAGGCATCTCCTTTTGATTATTTTGGTGGATTGTGGGATTCAATATGTCTAAAAAATTTATTAATTCCTCTGACGTTCAATACTCTATTATACAGTTGTATATAACACATCATCTGTATATTACATTGTGTGTTCACCACCCCAAGTCAAGTCTCCTTTCATCACCCTTTGTTCCTTCTCTACCATCCTCTACCTCCCCCTATTCTGTATATAATTTTATTAACCAATGTCACCCCAATAAATTCAATAAAAAATAAATTAAAAAATATACTACCTCTATGAATGATGCTGGAATTCAACTAATGTGTTAGGCCTGAATTTCTGTGGTTATTCTCAACATATTTTTCTCCTTATTTTAGGTTCATGTAATCCGAGAGGTGGCTTCCATGGCTCAAGAAAAGCTTGGAGTATCTTGTGAAGTCATCGATCTGCGGACTATACTACCCTGGGATGTGGATACAGTTTGCAAGGTATGAATATAGCATCGATAGATGTCATCCCCTTAAAATCTTGGGCAAAGTTTGTTGGATATTTGCAAAGAATGGTTTTGAAATTTTCAGCTTTGTGAGCATTTTCAATTGATTTAAAATTTTAAAAATTTATACCATGAAGGAAATGTATGCTATATAATAAGCTAAATGCTTAAGGAAACAAATCACTTAGGTTTTTTTCCTCCCATAGTTCTCTAAGTTGAGAATATTACAGATGTATCCTTCATATGGCCAGCCTGGGTTGAGTTGTGTGAGTAATGGGGTAGTGCAAATAAACACAGGGACGCCATCAGTGTTTTAAACTTCTGATTCATTATGGTTTGATAAGCTAGGTTTAACATAGTCAGAAATGGTTTGGCTCAATTTTCTTTTGTTTCTTCTCCAAAAGAAATGGAGATGGGTTATTTTTAAAAAATGAACTCTTAACCTGAATACTATGGATCACAGTTTGAATTTTATGTTGTGGGATTCTGGCAGCTCAGATTTATAGTTGTTTATCTAAGCTTCCTCTTGAACTTTGGCCCGATTAGATTGATCTTATTGCTATTATTTGTACAATTCATATATTTCACTCTCAAGGATACAGTTTAGTTTTCATTTACTGGGCTATAACCCAAATCATCTATGTCCATATTGGAATATAAGTAAGTTTAAGCTTTTTTCTTTTTCTTTTTTTTTGTGATGGCTTTATCTACCAAAGTTTAGATAACATTGCATGTGTTATTTTTTTTAAATTTATTCCTATAGCAAATGAGTTCTAAGACCTCTGGGTATTTTATATTTACTATTTTTCAGAACTTTGGTATTCTTGTAGCTTTTTGTCTATTTCTTAGCTTAATTTCATAAAAATAATCTGTAGTCACCACTGCTGTAAAAGTGTAGCACATAGTGTTTTTAGGTGAAGATTGTGATGCATATAAAAGAACTTTATGCAGAAAAATCAAAATATTACTCATGGGGAATAAAGAAGATCCAAGCTAACCATGGCACACACCACATTAATGATTATAAGGCCAAGAATAGCCAAAGCAGTTTTGAAGAAAATAGCTGGAGGACTTAATTACCAAGTGTCAACATGTGTTATAAGGCTGTGGTAATTGCAACACCATATTTGTATAAAGATAGACAAGTAGACCAATGGAACAGAATAGAGAGTCCAGAAACAGACTTGGGTTGTATGATTTGGGACAAAGGTGAAAATTGCATTCAGAGAGAAAGAGGTGGTCTTTTTAATAAACAGCGCTGGTTTAGTTGGGTAACATGAAAAATATCACACAAATGTCAACTCCAGTTAGAATTCCAGTTCTAATTGTCAAAGAAAAAAATGATGAAGCTCTTGGGTGAATGCATAAGGGAATATTTCTATGATCTTGTGCAGGCAAAGATTTCTTAGGACAAAATAGAACATGAACATTTTTAAAAGGATGATAAAATTCAGTTTTATTAAAATTTTAACAACTGATTCATCAAGAAGCCCCAATAAGAGAGTAAATAAACAACTCACAGATTTGGGGAAACTCATGAACATTTATATTCAGTACTCTTACAATTAAAAATAAAAGGCACATCCCAATAGAATTATGGGCAAAGTCTTAAAAAGGCACTTTACAAAGGAGGATATCTAAATGGTCAATAATAATAGTATGGAAAAAATGTTCAGTTTTTTTAATCATCCAGATACACAAAACTACAGTGTGATATCAGTAAAGACATCATTCTAGCTAAAATGAAAAATGCTCAAATATCAAGTATTGCTGAGGGTTTGGACCCAACCCATCTCTCATATGCTACTGTTGGTAATATAAATTGGTACAACGATTTAAAAAACTGTTTGACATTATTTATCTGAATCCTATAACTCACCAATTCCACTCCTGTGTATATACCCAACAGAAAGGTATGATACGAAAGGTAAGTTTGAGAACGTTTCTAGGAGCACTATTTCTGAGAGCCTCACACTATAAACTACCTGACTACTCAGAACCAGAGAATGGAAAAATAAGTAATTAGAATGTTGCTTCGCAATGAGAATGAACCAACAAGTTAATGTAACAGTGTGTTTTCATCTCACAATGTGTTTGTGAGGTGACTTTAAAAAGCCAGATTCAAATGAATACATCGTATATGATTCAGTTTACCATATTTTGCCATGGCTAATGCTTTCCCGTGTATAATGCACACCCATGGTTTTTTGTGAGCATTATACATGGGATTATTAGGCCTACCATACCCATGGTATGTAATCATTATACCCATGAATAGTGCACATTCTTATTTTTCTCTCAAAAATTTGGGCAGAAAAATGCACATTATACATGGCAATTTAAATACAGTATATAAAGTTCAAAAATAGAGGAAACTAACCTATGGTGTCAGGTGTCGGGTGAGTGGTTAATACTAGTGTGGTTGTTAGTAGTTGAAAAGTACATGACGGAGGAGACGATTGCTGGAAACAGTTCCTTGCTCTGAGTGTTGGTTACATAGGTTCAGTTTTCAAACACTGAGCAGAACATTCATTTTGTACTCTTTTTTTGTATATTGTTATATTTTAATGGAAAGTTAGAAAAGAGAAGAACCAAAGTCCTGTTGATTCATTTTTTTGGATTCTGTTATAGTGTCCCTTTTTCTATGTTCTGGGGAGGCCTCAGAGCGCTCTGACCCAGAGGAGTTTCTTTTGTCATTCAGCTCTATCCACTGCCCTCGTTCATTTTTCATAACCCAGCTCAGCTGTCACACTGATGCAAAATAGCGTCTCATAAGTGGAGCTTGTACCAGAGTCTTCCTAGGAGGAAGAACGGTGGCTACAAGTTGTGGGCTTGAATGGGCTTTCCTGCTGAGACACAGACCACAGTCAAAATGAGTTATCGAAGTGGTAGGGAGATTTAGGCTGTCTAGCTTGAAAAGATTTTGGTGTTTTTTTTTTTAGTGAGTAAAAATCTAGAGAAGCTGCCTGTGGCAAATAAGAACTTGATTTTGACAGGGGAATGACAGGCTTCGAAGGAAACTCGGGATTTCAAGAATTATGTTGTCATATAACTTAGAATCAACTACATAAAACAATGCAAAAAAAAAAAGACAGCAGTTTACAAGGTGATTTTCATATGTTTATAGAAAAAAGTTGACAGTTTTTTTTCTTCATCCTCACCCAAGGACATGGGTACTGATTTTTGAGAGAGAGGAAGAGAGTGGGGGAGAGAGAGGGAGAGAAATATGAATGTGAGGAAACACCGGTCTTTGCCTCCAATCCCACAACCTAAGCAGATGCCCTGACCCGGAATCACATTTTCTACTTTTTGCTTTGTGGGATGACACTCCAACTAATTGAGCTACACCAGCTGGGGCAATTTTGACATGCTTATACTTTAATTAAAGATTAAATTATGCTAATTATGGAAATAAATAAGCCTGCCTTTACACCTTGGTGTCTTTTTTATTTCTCTTTTTCTCATGCTCTGCCTTCTTGCATTCAGTTCCAAAACAGACCTTGCTGACACTGCCTACAGAATGTCTGGAGTCAGTCAATCAATTTATCTATTCTAAAAAGCAATGTGAAATTGACTGCAGTAAACTTTAGCTATCTAATTTTTAAGAAATGAGTTCTTAGAATAATTCCACTTTCTGCATAGATGAGACTTACTATTCTGTGTATAGGTTTAAATACTTTTTAACCTTTTGGATGCCAATATTCCCAGAACCTTTTGTAGATAATTTTATCTTTTAAAAGTAATCCAAATGAATATGGATTGTTTATTGTATTAAGACATGCATTTTTTGAGGTATAGAACTTTTTACTTCATTGGTACATTTCTATGCATAATTTTTGTGGTTTTAAGCCTTTTAAAATTTAAATGTTACCTTATGTTTTGCTGTCACATTATTGCTAGCTTTTCATGAAATCCAGATGACCACATGTTATAAGTGAGACTTGTACATTGGCCAAGGAGGGCCTGCAGGGTTTTCTTATAAATCCAGAACAAATCCTTTACTCTTCAAACCTTATGACAACAATTTTGACTTTTCAGAACTTTTCTTTTGTCATTTCCTTCTCTGTAGTGCCTGTGCATCATTGTTGTGGAGTCTAGAACTGAAAGAGGTCAGGCTAGGCCTGTTCCCTTTGGCCTTCTTGCTGTTCCCAGGAGTGACCTGTGACCTTTGACCTTTTTTATCCATAGCAGTCACTACATAGTGCTTCTGATCATCAGGATCTTTATCTGTTACAACACACTGGATACAAGATATTGTCTCAAAGTCTCTTCCCTGCAAGTAATCTACATTTTTTCAGGTCCTTGGGAGGCAGTTTATTTTTAAAAAATCAACAGTTAGGGAATGACATAGAAAGGCTCTTCCCTCTACTCCCTCCACTCTTCTCACCATCTTGCCCTCTTATTCCCCTCTCCTTCCTCTTTTAAACTTAGTTACATAGCAAAAGAAGCTGTGCCCATAGATGCAAATGGTTGAGCTTTGGCTACATGTTGAGGTATCTATCGTTTCAGAGTATTTGGGAGGTAGGCTATCGTTGGAGCTGGGAGAGGCCTCAGCAGTAGGGCAGCGTGGAACGAGGCTGGGATCAGTACTTCATCCCTGGCATGAGGGAGTGACAATGGCTGGGACTGAGGGTTCAGTGTTTCTAGATTTAATATTCTTCTACTCTTGTTCTCCAGTTGTTTCCATTCTTGCTTCTAAAGACTTTATTGGGGCCTTGGATAAAGGTAAAGATAAGGCAGTTTCTAAGGCTGGCAGGGTTGGGTGGGTGTTTGGTGGTTCTGGAAGCAGGAGAGGCCTGCAGTGAAGAAGGAAAGGGATATTGTAGGAGTGGACCTGGAAAGGAGTTACACCTTGGTTATCTGAATGTGGGTAGTCATTTATATATAAAGAATCAAGTTTGCTTAGTCTTGGATTTGGAAATGGTGTTAGTGTTAAATATTTATGAGTAGTGCAAACATGTTTAAAAGACCCGTAATACCACTGAAGATAAACAT